TAGTAGATAGGAGACGACTAATAGTAAATGTGTTTTTATTTTACAGGTTAAGAATCCTACATCTGAGACAGACGAAGTGGCTTGTTCAAAGACGTACTGTCAATAACAGCACAGTTTGAATGTGAAGTCAGAGAGGCAGCTTCGTACTATGTGATTCTGTTTTAGAGATCACCATCTGAGATTCTACAAAATTATTTATGTAACTCCTACGAGCTTTCCCCCTACCTTGGCATCTTTCGTTGTCTAAACGACAAATCAATTACAGTGTGACTTACCTGCTTAATCCCTAACCCTTCAGGAACTACTAACTCACCACCTGGGATTGTCAGCAGCTATGGCAGAACAGGGGCTTATATGATTAGAAGTGAAAACCTCACAGTTTCCAAGAGAAGGGCCCAGAGAGTGACACAAATGGTAAATTCCTCACACTTTTTCCTTCTCCCCACCCCGATAACCACACAGAAACACACTGATATCCACCTTTCCCAGGCTCTGGACACAGCTCTGCGGGGGTAAAAACGGGAAAGCATGCCATCATTCCGCCTAAACGTGCATACGATCATCCCAGTACCAGGTAGCCCACTGTCCCAAAAGGGCTGACAAAATGAGTCATCTCTTCATCTATCCATTATGTCCCGATCAACCCAGAGGTGGATCTCAAGACCACAGATGTGAGGACGTTGGAGTGAAACACACCTCCTTCCACTAACAGCGTCGCCCTCTCTCCTAAGACAGGCTGACAGTGACTCAGGAGCCCAGCTTCCAAACGGATGCCTGTCCCCACTGGTAATAACCAAGTCTATTCAAGTGCACTTACATATTAACTTTGAAGGAAAAGATTATCAGAAAGTTCAAGTTTATTCATCTTACTTTGTCAGGGATGGTTTTTCCTCAATCTGAGAGTATGAGCAGATAAAACTTTTAAAGGTTTACTATAAGCCTCCATGGCTAAACTTTTTACCCTTATTTTATAAGAAAACTAATGGAAAGATGAGACTCAATATACACAAATGCCTATCACAGGGGCACCTGGGTGGCTCAGGTGGTAGAGCATCCAATTCCTGATTTCGGCTCAGGTCATCCCTAGGGTGGTGAGATCGAGCCCTGTGTCAGGCTCTGCACTGAGCATGGAGCCTGCCTGAGCCTCTCTCTCTGTTGTCTGTCTGCCTTTGTCTGTCTCTGTCTCTCATTCTCTCTGCATCTCTCCCCCCCATCCTTGCACTCTCTCTCTCTCTCAAAAAAATTTTTTTATTAAATTTTTTTAATGTGTTTATTTCTGAGAGAGACAAGAGAGAGAGCACAAACAGGGGAGGGGCAGAGAGAGAAGAAGACACAGAATCTGAAGCAGGCTCCAGGCTCTGAGCTGTCAGCACAGAGCCCAACGCAGGGCTCAAACCCACAAACCACGAGACCATGGCCTGAACCAAAGTCGGCCGCTAACTGACTGAGCCACCCAGGGACACCCCCAAAATAAAACTTTTTAATCCAGGGGCGCCTGGGTGGCTTAGTCGGTTAAGCGTCCGACTTTCGCTTAGGTCATGATCTCGCTGTTCGTGGGTTCGAGCCCCGCGTCGGGCTCTGTGCTGGCTGCCGGCTCAGAGCCTGGAGCCTGTTTCAGTCTGTGACTCCCTCTCTCTCTGACCCTCCCCTGCTCACGCTGTCTCTCTCTCCTAGAAATAAATAAAACATTTAAAAAAAAAAAAAAAACTTTTTAATCCAAAAAACAATACCATGATTAATAGTTCTAGAACAGATCTATTCTATTTGGTACTGTGAATACTGTACACTGAGCCAGTAAAACTGATTTAAATCACAGTTTCCTTCCGTAATTGGTGGCACCTTCAAAGGTATTATCTTGAAGGGGAAGTAAGCGATTTGCTAATGTCTCTGAATTGCACTAACACTGTATTAACCCCCACTCCAGTTATATCTTACACAAATTTGAGAAGTAGTCATAATACCTATCATTTTTCCAGACTAAGGTAAAATAAGGTAGAAAAGCTGGAACAGACTAAAAAACTCAGATATTCTATTACAAGTGTTGAAAATAATCCATCTCTCACCATTTCCTAAACGCTGGAAATGCACAGCCTACACTACCAAGCCACACTGCAAATCCCACTCAAAGACCTGTACGGAGAAGATAAGTTTCTACTGCCATTCAGGTCAACTAGCCCCTTAAATAAACAAACAATTGCATTTAACTAAAGGACACTCAATTCTCCTTTATGAAAGAAAGAACTAAACCACTAACCTCAGAGGCATCAGACTTTTAAAACCGCTTCAAGTCACATAAAGAGGTATCAAAACTATTAACATCACACCTATCAGGTAATAGGCACCTAATTAATATCTAGCACACTATTAAGTACCTCACATAGTTTCAACTCCTCCAAAGACCACTGCAAAGTGTGATACCTTATGTGGTAGGTGACAGAAGCTCGGAGGGATTAAAGTGACCTGCTCAAGGCTCACAACTAGGTCCATGGAAGTGTGGGGATCTGAACTCAGTTGTACCGAGCTCCAAAAATTGTGTGTTTTTTTCCAAAACTGTGCAACCTCCCCATTTCACAGTAGAAGAACAGAGATGTGAAACGCTTTGTCTAGCAGTCTTAATTGTTTCACCAAAAAAAAAAAAAAAAAAAGGGAGAGAATTTCCAAATTTTCAAAGGAGAACCACTTTTTGGAAATCGAGGGCACTATTTAAACCTCGCTTCTTCTCAAGAAGTAATTAACAGACAAAAAGAGAGGTTAGAAATCCTTTATAAAGTAAACTAAATTTCATCACACACCTGCAAGGGAACAGTCATTCTGAATACAGTCCCAGGGTTAGTGGCTCTGTGCACTATCGCTAACTCAGCAAGAAGCACTTCGCCCCATGCACGGGCACACTGAACACCTGCCCTGCGTTAAAAGACTCCTTCCTGGCGAAGAGGGTACAAAACTAAGGAAGAAATAAGGCCCATCACAGCCCTCAAAGAGTTAACAGGCTAGTGGAGTCCATGTGTACTACAGATAGAGTTACCATTAGGCAAATAAATGAAGTGTGAGAAATCCTTAAACAAAAGTGTGTGTAACACAGTCTCACAGCTCAAAGAAGGAAAGCAACGGGCCTATCTGTCCCGATTTGCTTGCTTACATGTCGTCCCTCCCTGACAACCCCTTCCAGCCTCTGTCAACCTCCCTCTCGCACAATCACGAGCAAGGACTGGGACTCCTAAAAGTGACCTTGTTGTCGTTGTTTAAAAGTACAACGCTGGGGCGCCTGGGTGGCTTAGTCGGTTAAGCATCCGACTTTCGTTGAGGTCATGATCTCGCGGTTCGTGGGTTCGAGCCCCGCGTCGGGCTCTGTGCTGACTGCCAGCTCAGAGCCTGGAGCCTGTTTCAGTCTGTGACTCCCTCTCTCTCTGACCCTCCCCTGCTCACACTGTCTCTCTCTCTCTCCTAGAAATAAAATTTAAAAAATATTTAAAAAACTAAATAAATAAAGTACAACGCTGATGCCGCAGACACATTTTTCTCCAGCTTCATCAGGTGAAGAGAGTTGGTTTTTCAAAACAAAACAAGGCCAACCGAACCAGAAAAAACCAGAACCGCTTACTTCCCCACATTATTCACGCAGCATGAGAAATCAATCAAAACAAACTGGCACACACAGTGTTTCTCAAATTTTTCGTTTTAATTTAGCAGATGGCAATGGGATATTAACAACTGGTATTAACACATCCCCATCAGTGTTCACTGCCAACTGGACAGGCATTTAAGCTAGTCCACCCTGGGGGACTTAAACATCATAAGCCAAATTATTCTCACATCGTAAGCCAAATGAACCAAATTCTGTAGAACCGAACCCAAAACCTGACAAGGACTGTACTTAACGCAGCCTGCAAATCACCCAAGAGACCAACGAATACAAGCTCAGAACGGTGATTTAGCTCAGCTGATCATTACTTCTTTACAAACTTGCAAAAAAAAAAAAAAAAAAAAAGTCATCTTTCAAATCCGGCAGCTTTTGTCCTGATCTGAACAATCCAAAGTTTTTGAAAAACAGAATAAGATGCTTCTTCTGAAAATAAAGGGACGGGGAAGCGGGGAGCCTGGAATTAAGACAAAAAGCCACACTGCTTTTTCCTTTAGTCGTATATGCCTGAGGCAATAAACTCCCAAAATAACTTCACCCAGGAGTGTAAAAGCTGAGAAGGAACACCAAAGTATTACTCAATCTAACTTTCATTGTGAATTCCTCAGTCCACAGCAACATTTAAAATCGTAAACGTTGATGAAATCATCCTGTTGTAAAACTACGTTATTAAAAAAAAAAAAAAACCTGTCTATCCTTTCTTCTGGCGAAAAAAATTTCAGGGTTTTCCCCACGTTTAAAAAAATTCTTCTGGTACTGGTTGACTTTGCAAAAAAAAAAAAAAAAGTGTCAGTAAGCCAAAAACAAATGTTTTGTTAGGGCTCGAAGTATGGCTGCACTTGAACTCGGTGGAGAGCTGAGCCCGCTGCCCGGCCCCCGTGCGGGTCCCCTCCAGCGGCGCGGCCCCGCCGCGGGAGGCGCCCCCCGAAGGCCGGCGCGGCCCGGAGTGTTTACCGTCGCGCGGGTCCGTGGGGAGCGGCTCCCTCGCGTCCGCGGCACTTGTTCGCCCAGGAGGGACCCTCCGCGGCGCGAGGGGGCCGTCGCGCTGTGCCCTGCGGCCGCGCCCCCGGCCCCCCTCAGCCGGCCGGCGGGAGCTGGGAGGCGCGCCGCGGCCCGGGAGCAGACAATGAGCGAGGGGGCGGCGCGGGAGGACCGGGGGGCCGCGGAGACGGGGGTCGCTCCCCACCGTGCGTTCATCCCCGCCCGCCCCCTCCTCCCCCCGCGGCCCCGCCCCCTGCCCGGCCCCCGCCCCCAGGCGCGGCCGCAGGGGGAGGGGCCCCGCGCTCCCCGCTCCTCGCCCGCGACCCCTCCCCAGATCACAAAACTTCCCCCAACTCCGCCAACTAAGTTGCGCTCTCACCGTGCGGCGCCCGGGGCTCCCCCGCGGGCCCAGCCGGAGCAGCTCCGCACGTCTGCCGCCGAGAAGGACAATAGACGGCCGCCCACCCAGCGGCGGCGACGGCTTGACGCTGCGGCGGCCGAGGCGACGTGCGGGCACGACAGTCTCAGCCGAGCCCGGGAGCTTCTCCGCGGCCGCTCCGGCTCCGCGCTGGCCCTGCACACAGCCCTAGCCCGCCCGCGCATGCGCCACAAGCTGCTCGGGCATGGGCGGGGCACCCGGGAGGGCGGTAACGCCCACAAGCTCTCCCGTGAGTAAACGCGGAGACAGGGGCCGCGAGCTGGGATTGCCTGAGGAGCTGCCCATCAAGTTCCGGGAGGCCAATAGGAAGGCACCTAGGCGGTGCGTTCAGGTTGCTAAGGAAGGCGGAGGTTGACCGCGGCTGCTGCGCGGCGGCAAAGGGATCCAGGCCGGGTGGCTGGCAGAGGCTGCTCTGGGAAATGCCCTCCCTCCCTCTCCTCTCCGCCCTAGCTCTGGAAGCCGCCCTGCCTCTGTGTGTCACTGCTTACCTGAGCCGCAGCAGTTATCACACACATACTGAAATGATTTACTCTTCTATTTCCTTCCACTTGCAACCGGAGAGAGGGTTTAGTCTTCTGTGTGTCAGCGCCTCCGACTGTTAGGTATTCAACAAGTGTTTTATTTAGATGGATGGATGACTGGATGCAGGGATGGCTTCCTGGCGGCATCAGGACTGTGACAATGCATTCCATGAACCTTTGGCTACGCGATCACCACAAAATCTTACAATCTTCCAGTTGCAAAGGACCTCAGAAATTATCTGGTGGCTTTGAGAAACAAACTGCGGCCCACTGGTCCAAGAAACTTCATTTTGATAGTTGTGTGTGTGCACGCGCCTGTGTTTCAATGTGCATTTCACTGTGTATGAAGAGGAAAAATGCCTATCACATCAGACCATTATTTCATTGATGTTATTTCTTAGATCAAACATAAAGTTATAAAAATATAAAGAAAAATATTAAGTAAAAAATGAAAATACTTTATATGCAGGTCAAGAACGTGCAAATTGATAGTGATTGAAGTAAGAACAGTGGTTACCAATATTAAAGTGCATGACTCTCTTTTTGGAAACCCTGAGTCAGGCAAGCTCATGGCCCAGGACCTGAGACAGGGGTATTACGTATTCTGACTGCATGTATCAGTCCCTTCCGTTGTTGAGTGGCTTTAAATCTTAGAAGTGCTCCTAGTCTTGAGCTGAAATTTGCTTCCCTGTAAGTGGACCTGGTTCTCACATATATTTTCCTAGTTTACCCTCACAGAATGAAAAACCTAGGCCAGATATTCTAAGTGCTTCACGTGAAATTATTTCCTAACCACCTCATTGTGCTGCCCACCCTCCTCAACACTCACTCTGATCTGTCCTTATCAATATTTGAAAGGTGGCACAGAGAGGGGAGTCTCCAAGATCCCAGCACTGACTCTGCCACAGAGGAGCCCACCAGGAGCAGGCCACCCCTCAAGAGCCTTTATCTCCTATAAAGCAAGGGACCTAACCTAGAAAATCACTTAGACCATAATATATGATAATCCTATGGTCTTCTTCTACAGCCTGGCTACATCTGTTACAAAGGCAGCAACAAATAAGTGTTAACATATCATCTTTCTAGTAACCACTGACAATATCATTCCCTGCTCCCTGCCTCAGCAGGATTTACACTTTTCTGGTGGGCTGCATGCTGCATCGGGGGGGGGGGGGGGGGGGGGGGGGGGGGGGGGGGGGGGGGCAGCCAGAGACCAGCACTTTTTAATGTTTACTATGTTACAAATCACTGGGTGATTTTGTTAAATGTGTATCCTTCATACATCTGGGGTGGGATCTGGGATTCTGCCTATCTAACAAACTCCCAGTGGATACTGCTGCTGCTGGTCTGGGACCCTACTTTGAGAAGTAAGGGCCTTCTCTAAATTTTCGAAATGGCTGAGCTCTGCCTCTTCTTTGGGAAGTCCTAAGCAGTTATCTACAAGACTGACTCTCATTATTCAGATATTAGCTCTAATACCCCTCCTTAGATGAAACCTCTTTGGCTGACCTATCAAAAATAACCCATTCTCAACTAGTCCCTCTCATGCATATGACTCAAATTGTTCCATAGAATTTATCTCAGTCTGAAAATAGCTTATCTGTGTGGGTTTATTGCCTCTCTCTCCCACTATAATGTAAGCTCTCTTAAGTCTGTTTTGTTTACCTTCCCCCCCCCCCACTCTCTTCCTTCATAGTACCTGTGGACACAGGAAGAACTCAAAAGTTTTGCACGAGTGAAATTTGTACAGAAGGAGCTAGTTATGAGGGGTCCTCAAAGTGAGTGTCCCTGATACTAAAGATTTGTTCTTCCAAAGGACACCAAATATCCCTATCCAGTGTGCCCCATTTCACCAGAAAGTGATGTAGTGGTTAGTAATTTTCTCACTTTCCTTAAGTAACTTCATAAGCCAGGAAAGATGCCAGGGACTTATCAACTACTGGTAGGATTTTATGTCTCTGGACTATCTTTCCAGTTGACTTACATCTCTTGTTAACCTTAGAAATAAAACTGGCAGTTTTATTTTTCCAGCAAAAATAGGTTTACTTGGGAACAGCAGAGAATTGCAAGTTAGGACACAGAAGCTACAGCAGGCAAGTTGCAGAACAAAAGGGATTTTGCAATGAGGGTATATAAAATTTTGCAATTTTATATGCAAAAGAGGGTAGTAGAAAGGCTGTTATAAACAGAAAGTTCCATGAAGTAAACTGGGAGTTCAAAGTATAGTGGCTTTTCATTGGCTGAGTTGAGAGAGTCTCTCATTGGCTGGGCTGTTGCCAGGGGAGGAGGAAACCCTTCTTCCTCCTCCTGGAATGTGAACTAGCCTCCCTGTGCAAGATCTGGCTCGATCTACAACTGACGAGGAGTAGGAGGGCATAAGGGCTCCCCTTGCCCACCCACTGACTCCATTCTACATGAGGTTTCCTGTTATTAATCTTCACACTGTCTAATTGATTTACACAGGTTCTAATATCTAAAAATATAAAAAGGTAAGTTCCATTTTACAGAAAGTGCCTGGTAATACCAACCTAAGGGGAAAACAAAGTCAATACAGTTGGAAGGAACATGAATTTCTCTTAAGACCATGGTTTCTAAAATGTCAACTCTTGCAAATAAATAAATAAGGAACCACTAGAACAAACTTGTCTCAGGGCTCTATTTTCACAGCAGTGGACATTTTATTGCTTTTGCGGTACAAATAGTACCCTAATGTTCCTTTGAGATAACCTCCACTTTCAGCCCCTTATTTGGGAAAAAGCCAAATCCATCCACATCCCCAATTCTATGGCTTTAGCATGTGATCAGGCCAGAGCCAGTCAATGCATTATACACAAAGGCAAGAATGATTACTTCAGGGTTGGGCACTCAACCCCAAACACACCAGTTAGGGGCAACTGGAGTAAATTCTACGTTCTCTCTGAAGTATCAGGGTAGCTGATTGTGTTTTTCTCAAGTGGAACCTAGAAGGACATAATTGTTAGCCATCTTGTCACCAGGAGGAAAGCATCTCTTCCAATGAAGCCAGCACGGTGAAAAGGTAGAGAAATGAAGAAAAACAATGTCTAGGTGGCATTGACTGAACTGCTGAATCTAGCAATACCTGAAGCTAGAACAACATATAGAATTTGCAATCACGTAAGCCAAAAGAGCCAGCCAGAGTGAAGGTTTCCGTCACTTGCATCCACAAGGTTTGTAGTTACTCATCACTGGTCAATTCCCTGACCAGCTTTTCCTTTCTTTTTTATTAAGTTTATTTATTTATTGGGGGGGGCATGGAAGGGACAGAGAGAGAGGGGGAATCCCAATGCAGGGCTCAAACTCACGAACCATGAAATCATGACCTAAGCCGAAACCAAGAGTCAGATGATTAACAGAATTGAGCCACCCAGGCTCCCCTCCCTGGTCAGCTTTTCCGTTCGATTAACAAATAGATTAGCTATTGAGAGTTTACTGTGTGCCATGGGATTAGAGATGAAGAACAAGGTTCTTGGCTTTAAGGAACTCACAGTCAAATGAGGGAAATGGGCAAGCAAACCAGCAAGGAAACAGAAATGTAAGCACCCTCCCAGAAGCAAACTCAGGGTTCTAGGGGCACAGAGAGAAGAACTTCTGCTTACTGAGTGTATGTTCAAGGGAGCCATCGGGAGGATGTGACAGTCACATCAGGTCTCAGAGGACAATCAACTGGGTAAAAAATTTCAGGGTAGTGCAGGAGGCTTGGGTGCAAGTGCACAGGTAGCAGAGGACATTCCCAGAAAAGGAAGAGCAAATTCAAAGACATGAAGGTATCAGAAATAGAGCACACATAGGAAACTGGACAGGGAAGGAGAGGAAGTGAAGAACTGAAACTGAAGGCAGTTAGCCAAAGCTAAAGGTTACTAAAAAAAAATGGCATTTATTCTGAACTAGGTCCAGGGGAATCTTCAAAAGATTTTAAGTAACCAAACAATGATGAGAACAGATTTTCATCTTAGATCACTCTAAGCACCTAGTGCTTAGGCTAAATTTAAGTAGGGGGTGAGGATGAGGGTGGGGGACAGGGAAATTTCCAAGAGAAACCTGGCTCCAAATGAGAAGTTTTGCAGCCCACAGTTAAGTGTTCACTACTTGGGTGCCAGAGGGAAGCTTCCATTCTCAATGTCAAGTCCAATTTGCTGTCTAACGGCAATATATAATGAGCCATATATGTGATTTAAAATTTTCAGAGAGCCTGAGTGGCTCAGTCAGTTAAGCGTCCAACCCTTGATTTCGACTCGGGTCATGATCTCGGGATTGTGGGATTGAGCCCTGTGTTGGGCTCCGTGCTGACAGTGCAGAGCCTACTTGCGATTCTCTCTCTACGTCTCTTTCTACCACTCCCCTGCTTGCACTCATGCCTGTTCGCACATGTTCTCTTTTTCTCTCTCAAAATAAATAAAGTTTAATAAATAAAATAAAATATTTCTAGGAATCGCATTTAAAAAGTAAAAAGAAACAGATGAAATTAATTTTGATATTTTACTTAACCAAATATATCTCAAATAGTATAATTTTAACATGTAACCCATAAAAAATTATTAATGAGGTATCTTACATTCTTTTTATCATACTAAGTCTTCAAA